AGAGCAGTGACTGAACAGGCAGTGATTTGAGCTGTGCCTGTGCCTTTAGGTCAATGGTTCTCAACCTCATTAAATTAAAGGCAACTCTGGAAAATGCCAGATGTGCTTTCACTTGGTTTTTTTTTTGCTTTTGACTATGAAAAAAGAATAGAGCAATTTTTCTGTTGCAGAGACCTCAAACTCTGCAACAGGTCAAAGCATTTTTGGCACTATTCCTATTTTAAAATTTTAGGTTTCTCTTGTGATTCATCTATGTATGGCACCCTTCAAAGGAACTTGCGACACCCGAGTTGACATCACTACTCTAGGGACAGGTTCTTCAGATCAGGGGAGCGGCTGGCTGAGTGGACGTTAGGGAAAAGCCTGGACTCTTTGCCTGTCCTGTGTCTAAGTAATAGATACAGTGTCCAGAACACTAGGTCTGATTCTCATTTACACTAAGGTTCATTGCCACCACTGCTGCAGTATAAAGGGTAATCAGGTGGGCATAAATGGGCCATCGTTTAAACCCAGGCACTTAATCTTCTGTAAGCACTGACAAGCAGTAATTTTACTGAGATTTATATTCTTGTCATCTAGTCAAGGCCTCGCCAGTGCTGATGTTTTAACTTTGTTTAAAAGAGCAGTTACTCTTTTAACATAAAAGGCATTTGTTGTTTTTGATGAAATTGGGATTTATTTAATTAGGACAGCTATAGTTTAAGAGTTGTTGGATCCTAAATGGATTTTACTGTTTTATTTTAAACCCATTGTGTTTACTGTAGTTTAGAATGTTCTATCTGTAAGTAATGGTGGAACAAAGAAACACAATCCATGCTCTAAAGTTTCTTGTACGAGCAAGGGTAGTATCAATCTTCTTAGGACTTACTGAATATTTGACAGATCATTTAGTACTAAATGGGTTAATTGACAAACTTAGGTGCCTGAAAATCCTGTTCCTTAGTGTGCAGGCTGAGTTTGATTAAATATAATTCATATGCATATAATATCATGTTTCGGAGTTTTGTGATATCGTAGCGGTAGACTGCTGAAACAAGTTACTGTGTGCTGATCCTGTTATGCATCCCCCTCCATGGTTTTTTTAGGTCAGTTCAGTCTCCTAATCAACTTACTAATTACTACAGCCACCTGTCTAGTTCCCTTTAGTTTAAAGTAATTTTGGCAAGAAGGAAACTACTACTAATTTTATTGTAATATTAGCATTAACCAAAGGCTAGCGTTTTTCAAACTTTGGAGCCTAAAGGCAGGTGTCTTACATTCATTTTTAGACGCTTAAATAAATACCTTGATTTTTAGAGATGCCTCAGTAGGAGCTGACGAATCCTAAATAGTTTTGGCATCCCATAAAACTTCAAATTCCATTTGTTTTGTTTTCCTCTCCTTGCTCCATATGATCCTCTCCATCAGCTCAGTTTATAGTTCTCTTCAGTTTTTCTTTTACATTTTCCCCTTTGCTTTTTTTAATGCTGACTTATATCACTGAAATAGTCTCCACTAAGATGAACTCTGTTTATATTCTTCATTTTATTTAAAAAAAAAAAAATAAGTTTCCTCAAGAAAAAAGTTCTGGTTTCTTGGTTCTTGGTTTCCAAAACAATAATCGTTCCCTGCCCTTCCACAGTTAATTATCATTCCATGTTTTGTCTCCTTTGCACAGCAAAATTTCCAAGGGTGGGAATGTATTATATTCCGCCTGCAAACCATTAACTATTTATAGCAACACATAACCCAAATTTAATAATGTCTTGAGCACATAGTGCCTATCTTCAAGTACAGTGGATGTTATCTTAACAATGTCCTTGGTATTACCAGCTGCAATTCTACATCAGTTGCCTGTGTCAATGTTGCCTCTGTCAATGTTGCCTCTGTCAACCCCACTAAAGCACTTAATCTATACGGACAGTGGGCGAGCTGGGTCCAACTAATGAGATGCCTCTTCTGGGCATGCTCTGGGGTCAGCATGGGAGCACACCAAGTTTAAAGTAACTTTTTCACATCTGAAAGCAGCTTATGATAGCAATTTTGATTTGAATTAAACATTGAACTGATTAAATTCTCAGACATGATGATCCTTTTACTACTTGAATTTTGATTTGCTATCCATCACATTGATGATTTCATTCATTCAGAATGGTGCCTGGAAAGCCTTGCTGTTTTATTGCTGATGTTAAACATATTTTGAAGTTTGAGGCAAGGATCCTTCTAAATTTGAGAGTAAGAAAACAATATTCTGTGCAGTTCTTTAAAGGTGCTGGGAGCCGTTACAATTTATTAGGTAGGAATAAACATTAACTCTTATACTGTGCCATATACAGGGTGCTTCTACATATGCAGTTAATGCTCACTAATAAACTCCAGAGCTTGTTGCTTCAGAGTTTCCAGGTGCTGCATCTTCACCTGCACCCAGGACCACAACGCATTATGCTAGGCTGAGTAGCCCCAGCTGGCAGGGGTCCTGGGAGTAAGCCTCCCAGCCTGAGGCTGCTCTCCCCACCTCAACTGCTGTGGAGGTGCTGCCTAGAGCACTGGTGTGCTAGCCAACATGCACCCCCTTCCCCCTAAAGCACCCTCATGCTTCAGCCAGCCAGGGAAGTGTCTACATGTGTGCTGCTGTGGAGTAAATTAGTTTACTCCAGCCTAATATGGGTGCATGTGTAGACATGTAACATTTACTGAACAGCTAAGTAGTCTACTGCACAGTAAACGTCTTGTGTAGACAGTTTAGTACAGGTGACTTGACTACTGCTGACCTGAATCTCTGTGGAGAACAAAGAATAATCTCTAGAAGTCAAGAAGGTTAGAAGTGACAAGAAATTTAAAACGTCCTTTGACAAGAGCACTTCATAAGCTTTACGTCAGTGAAGCTAAAGACAGTAAGTCACAAGGATTATAAATGTGTTGCAATCATTTGGCATAGCTATCTGCAGTACGTCAGATCAACTATGTAACTTCAGTCACATAATTCTAATTACCCACTGAAAACAAGGGTTGGGTATTTCTGAGACAGAGTAATTTACTACTCATAGTTTGCTTATGTTGTGTATGTTGGGCAGAAAGCTTAAATTGGCAAGTGCTGTCATAAAAGAAAAACAAGTAGAGTGGCAAGAAGAGGAGACAAAAGATAAACATTGTGTTCTTTCAGGCAAAGACCATGTTTTTCTTTGTGTTTGAAAAAGTACTTCCGTGTCTCATTGTTTTAATAGCTGTGGCTACCTTAATAATATACAGAATGATAAAATTCGTTCTTGTCCTGCTGCAATAATTAACTAATGAAATAGGATTTGAAGTAGTTATTATCAGGTCAGATAAACCTGCTACAAAGCTTTGGCAATGTGCTATTTAGAATTTGTGTTCAGAAATCTTCATAATTGTTTACAAAAATGTCTTACAGAATTTCAACAGCCTTTTTAAAATATTTGCTCGACATCACTTGGTATTTTGCCTTCTGGCAATGTACGAAATTACTTAATAACAGAACACTTAAACACCCAGAATCACTACTGTGGATAGGTCCAAGTTATAGACAGAAACATATCACATGGAGTATGGTCAGAAAAAGGCAACAGCTTAAGCATATGTGGGATTTCATGTACATTACTAGTTGTGCAAATGAAGCTGTGTTTCAGTGCTCTAAAGAACTGGGGCATAGGTGTCAAGTAAATGAACAACA